GGGGGGGGGGGGGGGGGGGGGGGGGGGGGGGGGGGGGGGGGGGGGGGGGGGGGGGGGGGGACCGATTCGGTACAGGCCGAGATGGATCGTTGGGAAGTTTCTGGATCCTTCCGCACGTGTGTGTTGCGAGTGGGGAATTTAGGTGATGAGGATTGTTTTGAGTCGAGGGTTCGGCTCTGCAAACTCAGCAAGTAAACCCTGTAGTGATTAAAAAAAAAAGAAGGTTTTACTAATTTATGATCCCGATAGGCCGGGAATCAGGAATGGTACAGCAGTGGGTTCAACGCCACCTCGATTAAATTAAGGGAACTATATACATAATAAATGTGATTTCAGGTCAGAAGGAAGGCCAAAAGGGGGGAGGGGGGGGGTCTGTCCAGGGACATCTAATGGTAGACTGCGAGAAGTTGTCCTTGGATGTTCCTTTGCTTTAATTTAAAAATAACGCGCCGTAATGGAAAATGATTGATCTTGAGTGTAGAACCCTAAGAGAACACAGGGGAGAAATGTCGATGCACTGTCTGGGGTCCTTAAAGTCTCAGCACAAATTTCTCACCAGAGGGATAAAAACCTCTGGTTAGATCCCTATATAAGTAGTGTCTCTCGCTTCCTCTGCTCGGTCTCAGCCCACCCAGCACTGCCTCCGCTGCCTTGCGGGACCCGCCTCTCTCCCTATCTCTCCTTCTCCTCCCCTATTGTTGGGTCTTCGCTTGGGGATGTTTGGGTTCGCAGGAATGAGGGATCTGCGTGTATACCATTCTGCATCAAGCAGACCCTGACCCCATGGAATATTCCAGGGTCTTGGGTCCTGTTGCAGGGGTGCAGCATCGCCTCGGACGTGTTGCACTAGTGTCCTTACATCACATGTGGCATCACAGGTCGCGGAGCATCACAGGAGCTGATGAACATGTCAAACGAAAAACAAATCGACGTATGTGGATCCGATGCTGCTTGAACGTGGATGCGGATGCGAGACGGATGATATTCATGAGATAAAATGCATTTGGCCGCGTCCTGGTCAGGGCCAATATGGGCACTTTCACATCTCCTTCATTTGCTCTTCTACAGTATTAATCAATTTTATCTTACGAAACACCCTGTGTGCTTGGGAAATCCCCGGAATTATCGACAAGACGAAAAATATTCCAAGAACGCACCACGACCGTGGGAGACGCATCAGCTGACTGCGAATGCGCCCGAGATCCTAGGGAGCGTCGACGGCGAGTATCCTCCATCGTGGCCATGCGGTGTCTGTTGGCTCTATCTCTGGTGCTGGGGGCGGTGGGAGGAGGGAGGCGGGAGTGCGGGGGGGTGATGGAGGGGAGCGGGGGTCGAGTCGAGTCGCCTGGTTACCCGGATGGGTATCCCAGAGGGGCGGAATGCGTCTGGACTGTTGTGGTGAGGAAGCTAAAGTTGGCCGGTGTTATTCGCGTTTACAATAGTTTTTCTTACCTGAAAGTACTAGGCTGTTGTAGATGAAACGTCAACTATATTGTTCTGCGATTCTTGGCATATGACGGGCAATCGTGAAGTTGGATGCTGACTTAACATAAATCTATTCGTGGAATTAAGTGTCTTTGCAGGCAGATGCGGGGTGTGTCCAAATAACTGTAGCACCCCTGGCCGAGTCACAATAGTTTTTCGATCCGAGTCGTACCGTACAACTCGGGTATGGATGTGGCACGTAGCCAGTTTAGTCTCGGGTCTCCCTCGGTGGTCTGCGTTCGAAGCCAGCAGTAAATCGGGAAGTCGTATCCTTCCCTTGCTCCCCAATTAATATGTCATTCTTGGCCGTTGAAAATTCACATGGATTTCAGCAGTTCATGAAGGGTTATTATTACGGCTGGACCGATGGCCGCAATTCGCCGGTGGCCCGAGTCAGACTTTTATGGGTGGTAGCATGCCAAGTCATAAGTGTCCGTCATAATTCCATGTCAATCCAGACTTTTCTTTTCTCGATCCAATCCAGTCTTTGGTTTACGGAAGCAGAGATGGGTGGGGGGAGGGCGTGGTTGTCTGTGCTTTCTTCCTGTGTCATATATGATTTTTCATATTTTGCCACTGGTTTATATTCGAAGAAACTATGATTATTTGAGCCTTGGCATCGATTGCCTACTAGAGACTGCGTAGGCTTACCTGAAAGTACTAGGCTGTTGAAGATGAAACGTCAACTATATTGTGCTGCGATTCTTCGCATATGACGGGCAATCGTGAAGTTCGATTCTGTCTTAATATAAATCTCCTCTTGGAATTAAGTGCCTTTGCAGGCTTATGCGGGGGTGTGTCCAAATAACTGTAGCACACCTGGCCGAGTAGCATCCGATCATAAAGGGTTCATTCAAGAAAATGAATTAAAGATATAATCGTCCCTCTGCCACTTTCCCGTTACTTTTCCTTCATTTGTATGTTACCTGGGAGTGCATCACTCATGGATTTTTTTTCTGCGTTTCATAGGCGAACGGACCAATACGGCTGACCTTCGATGACTTTGCCCTAGACGCAAAATCGGCTTGCCTGGATGAGTACGTGGAGATACGAGACGAAGACAGTCGATGGACCTTCTGCGGGGAGAAGAATCCGGGAACCGACGTCTGAGCCTTGAGGTCTCACTGCTAGTGGAAGTCCTCGCCGCCCCTGGCTCGCCACTCGCTATTGGCGCCCCAGCGTCCGTTGGCACCTAAGGCGTAGAGGATGCTTCGCTGGACGCTCCTCCCCTGGATCCCATTCCAGGATCATTGCTACTACTTTGACACCACAGACGTATTCGGGTTCGGGCTGGACGACGCCGAGGTCGAATGCCAGGCCCTCGGGGCGCACGTCGCCAGCGTCCATTCGCCGGAGGAGGACGCGTTCATCGCGTCCAACGTCAAGGCGTCGTTTGCGTACGTCGGGGCCACCACGGGTCCGAATTTCCCCGAGGATATTCTCGACTTCGAATACTTGGATGGCACCCCCGCGGATTACCACAATTTCATCGATATCGAAGGGCGTATATTTGCAGACAGTTCCATCGTCCACGTCATCGACAAATGGATTAACTTCCCCTGCGAAGACCTGCGCCCCTTCATCTGCTCGACCGGTCCCTCCTTCAGTACACTGTATCATACGCCTAGTACTTTTGACGATGCGAGGAACACGTGCACGACGGAACACGTGGACCTGGTCACAATACAGAACCAAGAGAAGAGAGCCACCCTGCTGACTCACTTCCTGAACGAACGAGAACGTCGCTCGAGGGAATTCTGGATCGGATTGCGCTACGACGAGGTCGTCGGAGACTGGAGGTGGGTCGAGGATGGGCCCCCGGTCACCGTGGAGAACTGGGCCCCCGGTTGCCCTACGGAGGACGGGGGTGACTGCGTGGCGATGGTCCCTTCCACCCTTTATCTAATCTTAGGGTAGGGAAAAACATTGAAAGAACTCCAACGAAAAGGCTACCATGGAGAAAAATTTCGAGAATGAGACAAACTTCAACGGTCCAGATGCATTCAGTCCCGACGGGGTATTCGAGAGGGTAGCTGGGCGAGTCCATTACACACGATGTTTCCTTCAAGACTCCCCCGCATAGGACGTACTGATGACAGCTACTTTCATATCTCAAGAATGGATGGTGAGGATGCGGGGAAGAAGATAATTCCAACGATACAGAGGTTAGTAGATTGGCAGGTCAGCATCCAGACAGGTCTTCTCGTTCTTCTTTCGAGCGTTGGTTTTCCCCGGGACAGAGCGGGAGTCCCGATTTTGCCTCCAAGAATTCGTCCCAGCCCTGGATATTTCAAGCGGGGAGGATTTGGTGACTCATGGGAAACGATGGGAGAAGAACACCTGTCCCAGCTGCTCCCGGTTTCATGACGTCGGAAGTTAGGAGGGAACCTGTCGTTCCAGTAAACAGCGTCATCACCCTCGATATCTATCGCGAAAAAGTTGGACGACCATGGAACATGTAGCAGGTGGCTGCAGTGGCACCTTCTCGTTCACGCCACGCGAATGCTCAATGAGATGAGAATCTCTTAATCGAATGGGATATGAAAGGCGTAAACCCTGGATTGTCTTGCAGTGGGTATTCATATAAGTTACTGAAGGAAACGCCAGAGAAAATAACCAGTTATTTGCGAATAATTTTTCACCTATGACATCGTAGACGACGACTTGGCTTACGTGGTAAAGAAGGGAAATCGCGTGGTTTCCTGTTATCGTGAGTTCTGCATTGTCATGAGAGTTGTCCATCTGTCCCAGCTGCTCCCGGTTTCATGACGTCGGAAGTTATGAGGGAACCTGTCGTTCCAGTAAACAGGAATTTCATCACCATCGACATCTATAACCTCTTTAATAAAAATGCATACGGTAGCTGCAAACCCAGTCAAAAATTACGGTTGGCTTAAGGTTGGGCCATAAATGGGGAAGTTGGCGGAAGGTCGGGCAATAGTTGGTTGGCATCGATGGGGATCGTTGGATGGGGCACATCGATGCCCCATCCATAGGCCACCCATTGGGTCCCAGGAGAAAATGTTTTATAGAATTTCTGTACAAAGTGCCTATAGAGACTTTGTAGAAAATTCTACCATATTTCGATAAAATTTCCAAGGAATAATTCTATAGAGATTCTATAGAATCTCAATATAGGGAGCTGAAAGAGATCACACAGAGACTTTTGGTAGTCTTAGGATTTCCTTAGGGCAATACTTCACAGACCTATTTCCACTCTACTGAAGTCCTGTGGGACTACCTAATCCATGATTTCCCTAGATATAATCATTTTACTTGCTTTGAGATTATGCAAGTTTAGAGACCTAAGCGGCCCGCGGGTCGGCCTGATCAGTTCAACACGAGTCGAAGCTGGGCCCTATAGAGCTCGGCCGACGATCAAAATCAGGGTCGGGTGTGGGACATGATTCCACTCAGGCGGACCTGGTTGGATTCGGAAAAATTCCTCCGTGCAGGCCTCTGACGGCGGAGAGATTAGAGAAGACCAAGGAAAACGAACAGAAATAAAGAGGGAAATCAAGCAAGTAGTATAAAAAAAAAACACCGGAGGATTGCTGGCGCCACACATCCCTGGGCAGGGGGAAGGAAAGGGAAAAAAAAACCTAGGCAGGTGAGACACTGCAAGAGGAGAGGGAGTGAGGAAATGATAGTGCGTCGTCTGCTACAATTTACATGTACCGGAACAGGGATAAAGTCCCGCCATTCGATAACCCGTAAGCCTAGAAAGACGATTCAAGTACCATCTGAATCGTGAATCATTCTGCTACATGATACGCGGAAGAGGCTGTGTGTATTATGCGAGTGAGGAGGCATGCAGGGGAAAACGTGACCGTTTCCTGCAGGATTCTCCGACTTGGCATCAGTCAAATCACTATAAATCAGAGATTTATGAATATTTTGGCATATAATTAGGCAGAGCCCTTCACGACAGTCGAGATTTTCACAAAATTCGTTCCCCATCCCGAACCCGTGGTAACATTTTCAAGAATTTTACATCATTGTTTAGAGTAGAATCTAAGGAAGAGAATGAGACTAATTTCAAAGTTCTCCGTTGAACGATGCCGGAGATAAAAGCCTCTGAAGAGACCCATCGAAATCGTGACCTTTGACCCTACTTCCTGTCCACACCGGTGACCTTAGAGTCTCGAAAAGTGGCTCTTGGGCCCTCCTTCGAGGTCCCTAACAATAATTAGAGAGCAGAATTTTGATCCAGGGGGGTCAATTTTTATCTTTTATATGTACCTTAAGAGAACAAAAGCGTTTCTGAATCAGCTCAGATTAGCTTGTTCCTTTCAGACAATCTTGTCTGGAAAGGATCCCCATGTTATTTCCCTATGATTTCTGACTTTTATTACACCCTGTAGTCTAGGAGCAGAGTTAATGTCGTGACAATAACTTCAGTAATTAGAGCAGATATGTATAGGTTAAAAGTTGTATAATACTGAGAATATTACGTTGATACATAAACAGCATCCCTATATTTCGGAAATTTATTTGTCCTAGGGACCTCTATTCGGATTCTATACAGTCACTACATAGAGGCTTATAGATTCTATACAGTAGAGTCTATAAACTCCTCTATACAGTTCTATAGATTTGTATACAACTTTTTCACGCGGGGTGTCTTCCTATAAAGAGGTTGCATTAATGCATGGCATCGACTTGGACCGGCTAACCAGCAAAAGCGTAGTCTCCCTAAGGAATTCCCCAGAGGATTTGGCTTCAAATACTTTTTATTTAATTCATATTTATTCCCCTCATGCGGGATCTTCCTCGATGAGATCTCGCACTCACGATGACTCGCAAGAACGGCGGCGATTCATTCGCCATCGCTCCTCTCTCTTAGAAACCTTGTTTGTTCCATTAAATACCAGGTGGTAGGGCTGCGGCTAAAGCTTTTCATTACCCTTTTTTCAACAATAACTCTGGATCTCGTGCATCGATTGAATCGAGCCCATCCATATATTTTTATTTTACCAGTCCATGTCTATCCGATGACGTCAGAAGACGCGATGGGCAGCTTTTATTCTCCGGTGCAAAATTAATTTTCAAAAATAAGGAAAACAGTACATTTAAGTGAGTTTTGTCTCGTAGAGGGATCGATTTCCAGATGAAAAAGTATCCGTGCGAACATTTCCAGAGGTCTGTAAGCAGTTTGGGCGTTAGAGTGCAAACAGACATACAATTTTCGACGAATGGCAATTTTCTGTGGCAGTCCAAGCTTTTTTTTTGCATTGGTTGCATTCGATCGGCTTACCTCGCTCCGGTTTGAACTGAAATCGGCCTGTCGGTCATGCTCTGCTATGCGGGAATTCTGGTGCGAAATCAGGACTGAAAGGCAGCGTGGAAATAGCCAGAAACATCAACATATAACTATTTCTGGCTATTTCCATGGCCTGGTTCGAGCAGACCGACGCGAGTTCTATTCCTCGCGACGGCGTTTACTCTCGCCGACTCGAATTGGCAGAATGATCGCAGAATTGGCTGAGGCAGGAATGAAAATGCTTTGTTCTTCCGTCTTGTTTTTCGTTAGTGGCTAGGCAAATATTCCGTTATTTATCAGGAAATTATTTAGAATAAAAAAAGCTGATGCTTTTCATGCAGTTGCAGATGAGTCGCTGATAAGAATTTGCCTCATGCACAGAGCCATTCCATGCCCGGCCACTTTCTTACGGTTATTCTCTCTTTAGCAAGTCTTAACCGAAATGTTATTTCATATTTTGGACCGTCTGTCTATGAAAAACAAAATTTGAAGAAAACCGAAAATGAGAATCCCCCCAGGTTTTCTGGATCCAGTCCTTTCCTTTCCCGCTCATTGCTCGATATTCTGCGTCGTGACCCCGGCGAATTCTACATCGTTGGAAAGTCCTTATTGTTTCCTTCGGTTCAGCCTGCAATGCATGCGAACTCGAGCAGGACTTTCGACGAAACGATCAAGGGAGGATTAAAGGGTCCGCCCTATTTTTGCATTTTTCTTTTTTTTTCGGAATGGCGTATAGGTTGCGGAGTGAAAATTTTCCCGAATAAAATATCAAATAAAATTATTACAATTATTAATTGAAAAATTTTCAGGGATGAATTGGAATTAAAATTGCCAGTCTGTCCCTAAA